TACCGTACGTACGTCGTACGTACTAAACTCCTAGTAATAATACGAAACGCTATTAGATTATGACTTATGCCGATAATATCACTCTCATTTTTAGTTCCATCGAAATGATGGCGCTTTCGCGTCGGAGTTCGTCAGGCACTCCAGCATCCTCTTAAATCCTCTTTCCATTGAAAGAAAGAAAATGATTGTATCAGCAGAGAGAAGCCTGAGAGCGGTCATCCCCACGATTTAGCTGCAACCACAATTCAAGACGCCTCTATGTGCACAAAACGTATCTAAAAGTTATAATCTTGCAACGTAAAAATTGTAAAGTAAGGACAAAATATCAAAATAGAATTTACAAAAATTAAAAAAACTTATATGTCGCGATTCTTGGATGCAATTTTTATTAACAAAATTGTCACGTATATTTATGTTAAAAAGAACTTATTGTAAATTAAGCTTTAACATAAAAATAAATAATGACATGTGCATGTTTTTTATTGAAAATTTATTTTATATACATCAATGTTACCCTACTAGCTCTGTGTTACCGACACTTTGTGCACATAGCATGGAACAGAACCAAACATTGTGCACATAGCATGTTACCCACTGGAAAGTATCGTGTACATGGCTCAGTAGTTCAATGTGCACGTTTTGTGCACATAGAGGCGTCTTGAATTGTGGTTGCAGCTAAATCGGGGGGATGACCGCTCTCAGGCTTCTCTCTGCTGTCAATAAAAATAGTTTAGTTGGTAGCAGTGAAATTTACTGATGTTGCGCATGCGCGAAAAACCGGGCCAAATCTGGCTACACTGCACAAACGTCACAAATCTGGCCACACTGGTGAAAACAGCCATCTTGAAGTCGATAGCTGTTATTACTCTTGTTCAAGTACTGTTGCGAAAGTATTTATTACGGCAAATCGGTATGACAATCTTGAATTCTTTAAAATGATAACGTGTTATTACACGATGTTTGAACGTAAAAACTCTAAATACATTATTGCGAGATATATATTACGATTTTAAAATATAACCTATTTGTATAATAGATATTTGCATCGTGTCTCTTTGCTTTTGTCATAATATTTCCAATTGTTTTTAGGCTGCATAGAAAAGTAATAATTCATGCCAAATATGAATATGGACGACGAAACATTGAACAGGTAATTTCACATTCTTACTTTGTATTTTATGTGTAGTAATTACTTATGTTATCATATAATTGCAAATATACAAGGTTTTTATTGAAAGTATATACTAGCTTACTAAGGGAAGAAAATAAAAAAAAATATTTAAAAAATCAAACCTTATAAAAAGGCATCTTTACCTTTTGTCTTTTCTTTATTTTTTTGTCTATAATGTATTTTTGCTGTAAGTTGAGAAAATATATTATCAAAGTTATATTTTTGAATATATAGTGGGACATAATTATAACAAATTTATTATAATTGAACAATAATGTAAAAATAAGGCTTGTTTAAAACAATTTTTTATTTTTATGATTGCTATATTTTCACTGCTGGATGTAAATATGTATTGTGTATAGACTCGCAGTTGAAGCTTTACTAGAGGAAGCCAAACTCGGTGCACGAAGGGCTGAGATAATGGGGCCTAGTGGATGGGTAAAACCTAAAGAAACTGTTAACAAAAGATTTCTCCACTCAACATTAAGAAATGCAGTGATATCAAATAAGCATCGATCACCAAAACAAGAAAAAATGAAAGTTTTGACACAATCACATAAGGCAGATATTGTTAAAAAATCATAAGCTATAATGTATATATGATATAATTCGTGCATGTTAAAAAAAAAGTATATATTCTTAGTATGTATTTTTGACATTTTGTCATTTATTATTATGTAAGTGTACAAATATATATAAGTATTGTTAGTGAAGTAAACAGTCACAATTTTATCTATTTATTTTATTAGAGTACACTCAAATTATAATCAATGTTACATATTTTTATATAAAATCGAAAAAATTCTATATAAATATACCAATAAACGGTATAAAAAGAACGGATTAATTATCAAGTGTACAAAAATATCTTCAATGCTTTGCGAATATCTGAAAATTTTTCTGACCAATTTTAAGATATTTTATATATATTATATTTTGTTCTCTTAATTGAGATGAGTATATTTAAAATTTTTCAATTAAATTTTTATTACAATTTTCATAGAAATGACTTTTATTTACAGTAGATATTAAAATTGTTCTAATAGGAATAACACGAATAAAATTCTATTGTACAATTTTATGTTTACTTTGTACAATAAAAAATTTCATCAATTGTACAAAGATAAAATCAAGCGTACAAAAAGTGCTGTTTATATTTCTATTATATCGTCTTGCACTTCACATTATATCTTTACTATGATGATCAATAAAGATTAATTATAACACCATTAATAACAATTTTCAAAGCACCAGTATTTTTAAATGTATTGTTAACAAATATATAATAGAGAGAATGTAATCGTATATTTTTCTAAATATAAAATTACTTACAATTATAATATACTTTGCATTGATAAGTTGCACATATCAATATATGGCATCGCTTAAACGTTTACTTATAAAAGAAATCGAAGTGATCACATGTTATTCATAGTTACATATCTCATCAACGGTTGGATAGATAAGATCGATATAAATCAAAATGTCTTCCTATATTAAAATATAAGCGATACTGTCACTTGCGTATTAGTATCTAAAGAGAAAAAAAACTTACTTAACATGTAATTGCATTGCATACAAACCACGCATTTACTTGATACTAAATTATGATACCAGATATAATTTGTGTAGTATATACTTATGCATATGAAATTATTAAATTGCATTTACACTTGCAGATATGCAATGTGATTATTGTGAGAAAATCATGATCAATCTTCCAAAATTCAGTCATTAATGTTTATAAATTCTTAATTTTAACAACATATTTCTTGTATATTACGCACGTGAAAATTTTTAACAATTTCAATAACTAATGAGATTTAAAATACCGGTTTTTATGTATTTGTAATCATATAATATTGGTGTCAAAGTACTTTTTTAAATTGCAATATTGTACAGCAAGCAATGGAAATTTGGTACCTGTACTTTTGTGCACATTCTTGCTGTGCAATATTGTTGTAAATCACGCATACAAAAATTGTCAAGTTACAGTAAAAAAATTGTCAGTTTTGAATAATGACATGATGCATGGTAAAAACGATTCTGTCAATCCACTTCTATACGCAATCGTCTATATTGTATCTTGAATTTTGGGCCCGTCTCATTTTTCTTTCTATAACTTTCTATCTATTAAAATAATTACCTATCAAAACTGTCTTAAAAATATTATGTTAAATTATATCTACATTATTAAAAAAATTCTTTCATACGACAGAAGAAAATTATTTGAAGCTACAGATTTCACTTCGCAGTTTATAGCCACTCTTATGAGACTGACACAGGTACCGAATAAGTTATACAGACCCGTTCTGATGTATTTTCTTTTTCTGTTCTAGCAAGACTTTCATATCTCCAAGTGCTCTTTCTATGTTCTTCGCGAATCTGGTCGAATCCTGCAAATATTGAAATTATAATTAAAAAGTGTTTTAATAAATACACGATAAAGATTCAAAAATGTAAATAATTGATCGATTATATTGATAATATTGAAATATACTTTACCGTTTTTGATGAAGACAATTTACTAGAAATATGGAAAAATACAAGATTTTCGCCCGCAATTATGTAAGAAACGCCATAGCCGTCGTCGGCAACAGGACCAAATCCACCACCTGCTGAAATGCAATTAGGATATTTCTTTAAATCCGTTATCGAAGTTTGGCCATGAGGAGTTTGTGATGTTGACAATCTCCATGGTTCGCTCAAGACTTCCTGCAACAGTAACATAAAATGTTTATCATGTTTATATCACGATCGATAGTTGCACCGCATGATACAATCGCAATAATATTACCTTTAGAAACGGTGAATCTACTTCTAAGTACTTCGATACCACATATAAGCAGAATAAGTGCCTGTCTATTCCTTTACCGCACATGGCATCCTGATAACCCTTTTGATGTTGCGCTACTGCACTCATTAGCAGCCTGATTTTTTCCTCCGTCTACATTGAAAAGAGAAAATAATTTATGTTAAACGTGCGAAGAGAGCCAAGCTTTTATATTTCTACTTATTTTGTTTTTACCGTTGTCGTTTTGTCCTCCATTGCTTTCACCCATTTCGAAGATTCAATAGTGCACGGTCTAACTGTTTCCGTTCTACCTTCTCGGAATAATCTCGTCATGGAAGCTTCGTAAGTTAAATTGAACCTTCCAGCATCACGGTAGTATGCCAATTGCAGTGCCATTTGTATATAAGCATCTGGTGATATGGAATTGGCCTTCATCAATCCTTTACCGTAAGCGTCATGCATGTAAATACGCAAATCGACGTCGTTTAATATATCTAGCGCTACCTGTTAAACAATAAAGCAATTTAATCGCAATACTTGCTGAGTATATTCTAACTAGGACGAGAATATAATTATTATTATTACCTGATAGGATTGCTCGATAACTTTAATACATTTGGTATTCAGATCCCATTGCAACCGAATTGGAGCTGGAGGTGAAAATTCCGGAGTGCCTATAGTATGCCCGTCCTTGTATCTGAATGATGTGTTTTAACAAGTTAGTTAAAAAATTCAGTTTGCATTTCTATACATATATTACAATCATACTTTATTTAAATTAAAATTTAAAATTTATGAAATAAGCTTATCATGCTACAATAATATCAAAAAGTAAGAACCAGATAATATCACGTTCCAATTATCGTTTATCATTGCACTATATTCATTTAAAATGAAAAAAAGCAATCCAAATATGATATTAAAGATAAAAATTTGGCGATAATACATTGTATTTTGTATTATAATTTTTTGGGGGCGTCAGTCCTTACTTTCTCAATATTCTTCGAATAATATCATGCAAATATAAATATTCTTTAATATTTGTATTAATTAATTTAATTACTGATATTTATAATTGCTGATTTTTTCATATTAATAGTTTAAACTACATATTTATGATGCGATAACAATCAAGCAAGCTAAGAATTATATCTTAAAATATAAAAAAATAGCTCTAAAATTATATAAATTATCATACCAAATTATAAGATTAAATTTCATGTAGAAATTATAGAGGTCAAGAAATCAATATGATAATCATAAGAATAAAAATTATACTGTTAGAAATGATGCCGTATGGAATGATTAGTAATTTAAATATTTCGTTTCACTACATTAATAACTTCAAATAATGCACGATGACGATTACCCGATATCGTTATCAGCAGCCATAATAAATTCCCATAGAGTTCCCATCACCGGTGCATCAGCCCTAGTAAGCACATCAGAAAGAAAGATTAAAGTTAAAGTGAGAAAAGAAAAGTGAAAAACACTCATTATCCAGTAGTATCCAGCAGAGAAAGATAACCTCCAGGAGATGCAAGATTTAAAAGATTGAAATATAGAAAGAACCCCATAGACCTTTAAAGATGACTGCTGCGAAGAGCATCAAGGGCACTAAAGATTTGCTGACGTTTCTTTTAAATAAAAAAAAAAGCACATATATATTACAACTCATAGAAGAAGTTTTTGACACATAAGTAGATAATAATATACACCAATTTTTTCTTAATATTAAATATATATATATATAAGAAAAAGAAACATGCAAAACTGCGCATTGTAATTCTTACTGTTTCGAACTGTTCTGGAATTCTGAACATATCATGTACTCCCACAAGTGCGACATGACTGCAGCATCTGCCCTGCTCATTATTTATCATTACATAAAATGTTTCAACACATACATAAAAACTTTATAAATCATAACATTTATATTGCTGAAAATATAGAATTGATCGTAACATTTCAAATATAATATAAATTGGCTTTGTGTTTGCCTTCGTAAAACAGAAGGTATGCAATACTCCTGAACGATTATATCTTCATACGATAAAAAAAATTTCTAAAAATGTCATAAAACAATTTGTTTTGCTATTTATTTGTAAATTCAGTTAAGATACTTATACTCACCAAGAATGTTCAGCGTTGAAACCAACCTGTAAACAGGAATCATTTTTATAAAACAGTAAAGCAATTATTAATCAATTATGATATAATAATATTACCCGGCCATTGCTCCCAACACACAGTGTAAAAGATTTATCGAACCATCGATCGTATCCTTTTCCGTGCAACAGAATTCTACCGTAACAGTCTAATTTTTCTGGATGTTTCTGAAACACAGAATAATTATGACAATTATATTGGTTTACAAATAGTTGAAAATATGTTTATTTACTGAATAACCTACCGGATCGTATTCATAAGGTATATCGTCCAATGCGACTATAAATGCGGCCTTCTCGATGATATCCAACGAAGCTTTGTTCACACCTTTTGCGAAAAAGTCTGTTCTGGCCTGCGCCCAAATTGTTCTCTCACCAGCCGTTAACGCGGCTAATTTCTCTTCTCCCTCCGACGGTATTGAATTGTTGTCCAAGATTTGTTGAATTTGACTGTAAAGCGATATTTTCGTGTAACATACACGCGCGATAGAAATACACATTGATAAAAACGACGACTTACAGTTCTATTTCACAGGCTTGAAGAATTCTATTACGGTAATAAATTAAAACCTTAAAATATCTGCCTTTATGGTATACTACGATATGTTTGGTGTCCTGATAATGTACAATTTTGTCAACTTCGACTCCTGGAATTCGTGTCGTGTTAAATAGTCTTTCGTATTGCCAAGAACACAACGGTACTAATCCTTGCACTAGAATCTGAAATTGCACAAAATTTTTTTTATATAATAAAAAAAAAGACTTGTTTTGCATCTTAAAATATAAATTCTTTACATCATGTTTTTTTACATATTTTCTTCTTAATAAAAAAATGTATAAAAATGTCTGTATTTTTAACATATTTTTAACGAAATAAAATAAAATGAAGTACGGGAAAGATTACTTACTGGTTCTAATTCCTGACGTTCAATAAGACGTCTATATTGCAAACAAGAATATATGACCGCTGCTGCCCGCGCGGCTTGCACGTTCGTGGGATGTGAAAGAATGGCGTCGATTGCGTAGAAGTTTGAATAAACCATTAGAGGCGATCTTCCGCGTAGATAAACGTATTCCTCCCACCAATCGGACACGTAATTAGTAGTCCACCAAGACTTAAGAAATAGGTAACGTTGTAGCTTAACGCCGATGCCATTTTGAAACTCATTAGCTAATTTCTCCATGCGAGCGTAATTCTCGTCGTCGAGTAGCGGCCGTACGCTCCTCAGATACTGTTTAAATAAACAATATATTATTTTATTTTGCTTAAAAAATGAAATATTTTATGGAATAGATGGACAATAATTTCGTATGTGTTACACGATACGCATCAATACTTATTCACACTTGACAGATACAAAGTATTGATTTACCCGTTTCATAGTGTCGGGCACTGCCGGCAATGGCAATCGTGGCAGTGATCCTTGAAAGCTGTACAGCATGGGCTTATGCCAACCGGAAAATAGCTTCACCAACAGGAGCCAGATTTTCGTGAATGTCGACGCCTTGCGGCCTTTACCTCTCGCCTCGTACATCCATCCTTTGTACATGAGTAAAAACTTCAGCATGTACCGAATCGTATATATCACTATTAACCATAAAACCAGTCCGACCACAAAGGAACCTGCTAAATGAGCAAGTATGGAGGACCTGTTGCAAAAAAAATGAAAGTTAATTCTAGAGACTACCGATAAATCATCGTCGCAACAAATTATATATGTATAATAAATTATAAACAGGCTCTAAATCATAAATAACTTGCGATTAGCAAAGACACAAAATTACATTACACAACGTACCCAGAAATATACGGTGAAACTTTCCCAACGAGGTCATAAGGAACCTTATAACCGGCGAAGTGTATCGCCGTCACTAAAATCACGGTAACCCACAAGCTTTCCAGAGAAGCCGGATAAACGCCGCTTTTCAGATTGTTCTAGAAACATACACGTCAATATGCACTCGTGTGTCAATGTATACAAGGAATTGGAAAAGCACCAATATTGGCGTTTGTTAAAACATTTACTTGAAACCGGAAGAATCTCTTCTTCCACGATCGCAGACCGGACACCCACACCAAGTGGAGTACCTCTCGATCGAAGTTCACGTCCCATCCTTCGTGTGTTATCGAGAAGCTGAATGCTACAGCCGAATGGGCTTCCGCCATTCTGCGTTAGCCTTCCTGCAAAACACATTGAGATTTCTTATTAAAAAATTTGGTGGTTTACAGCTTATGCTTACAATGCCGTCAGAGTTACTTGAAAAAAGGAAAACAAAGTTTCATGCGATTTTCTCCCAAAAAGAAAACACGCTAGATCGGAATGCCAATCATGTAAAAAAGAAACAATTGTGAATTTTTATATAGTTACGATTAATCACGCAACAATTTCTTTTCTTTTTTATTTTCTCAATTAATATGCAAAGAAAATTCGTCCTGAAAATGATTAATTGACAAAAAGGGAGCAATTTTGTCGCCAAGATAAGCTGCGAGGTTGCAGCGATAGCGATGCAAAGTGAACGCATATGCACCAGTTGACCTTACTTAAAGTCATAATTGCGACGCGCACGAGTAAGTATGCGAACACATCGCAACCAACGACCATCACATGGCCATCATATGGCAGTGAGTTCGCTGTACTCCCAAATTACCATTCACGGCAAGTTTATTTCACGGAGGTCAAACACATGCGAATTTCGAAATAATGCTTGAGTAAGAGTATAATCGTGGTCTAAGCTTTTGCGTAACTTTTGTTGTTTGTATTTCCCTCCCACTCTTTTCTTTTCATCAAGATTGCAAAAATTCCATTGCCCATACTAAATTCTTAATACTCGAGTGCTTGAAACTTAATTATCCGTGACTTTTTTTAAGTCTTGGCGTTTCTATTAAATTAAAATTTTTTATACTAATAAATATTATGGTGTTATAATATTTTGTGGAAATAATTAAGTATAACACAATACAAATTCGGCAGTACAATAAAGAAATAAAATGGGTAGGTAATTTGAAACAAATTAAAACCAGAATTTGTAGATTATTTTGATATCATCTAAATTAAAAAGTGTGTAACAATATCATGACTAGTTCTGCCAAAATCGTATTAAAATTAACAATTTTAAAATTAATTTTTGTTATTAAGCAACAGAAATGCTACGCAAGTTGTCAGTTGTTGCGAAGTGAAAATCCGGTGTGAAAACTTGCGCAAGGTAAAAAATATGCTGGATCGGAATGTAATATAAAACAGTTAGAGGAGATTAAAAAATGTTGCATGAAGTGACAATCTCAAGAAACCGCGCGCGCGATCCTCTCTCGCGTTATAATATCGCATTGCGCGTGAGATAGAAAGTCCGCTTGCGTTTCACTCGATTTCCATTCGATTCACGATCGAAAAAGATATCAGGAAAGGGACGCTTGATGACGGCGAATCCGAGCCGAGATGGATAATTAATTCAATACGAGCAGCGCTTGCGTGCGCGTCAGAAAAATACATAGCAAACGTGCCATTATTAAAGGTGAAGGATGTCCAAATAAATGTGCGTAGACAGTCCGTCACGCTTTCAGGTGGAAGATTTTTCAGTGAAAGAACACGGGCTGTTATTTGATCCGTCATTCGAGAATCCATCTTCCGCTGATTTCTCTAAGAAAGCCAGTTAGTGAACCGATCAATTCAACAATCCCATATAACAGACATAATAATGCATGCTAATCAGTGGCGTAGCCAGGGGGG